TAACAGGTATCCAACATTTAAATATTAACGATAAATGAAATCGAGCGGAAGACTTAATTTAATATAATAACCAAGGCCAGTACGATAATGACAACACACATCTCTACCCAGAATCCGATGTCACAATATCATGGACGGACTAAGATTACTACAACAAATGTCTGAAAGAAATACATTATGTCTCGAAATCTAATGAAAACAGAGCACATAATAAAGTATATACAGCGGAGGCTAGGCTAGGTCCCTAACCCCGGTGAGGCAGTGACGAGGCTAGGTCCATACTCCAGATAAACCTGTGCAGTTATATAATATACAACTGAAAATAAACAGGAATAAACAATTAACATGCGAGGGGTACATGCTACGGGGGAAATATTGAATCCAGCAGAAACTTAAGAGAAATATGAGAGAACAATTCAATATTTACAACAAAACCATAGTAACACTATTGCGACGCGCAACCCGATCCCTATCATTTAACACTGTTGCGGCGTGCAACCCGATCCATTTATATCACTATTGCAGCATGCAACCCGATCCAATATAACATTGTTATAGTGTGCAACCCAATCCAACAAAACATTGTTGCAGCGTGCAACCCGTTCCAACATAACATTGTTGCGGCGTGCAACCCGTTCCAACATAACATTGTTGTGGCATGAAACCCGTTCCATATATAGTATTGTTGCGGCGTGCAACCCGATCCAACATAACATTGTTGCAACGTGAAACCCATTCCATATATAGTATTATTGCGGCGTGCAACCTGATCCAACATAACATTTATATACCTTTAGCAACAACCATACCAAGAGTCCCGGCAAGGGACCAACAATAAGCTACACTATCTCGACAAGGGATTCGACAGTAAAAGTAAATACGTCTCAGCAATGGAGAAACATCTATAACTAATCTTAACCCAACTTCTACTCATCTCACCTAACACCAATACTCAATCATAAGTAATCTCCATGAAAACAAACTTAATCCTTGCTCAATATCGAGAATCATCAATGAAAGCATCCGTAGTACTATTTAAGAACACAAAATAAATTGCAATTTAAGACTCACGGTCATGCTCGACACTAACGTGTAGATACTCGTCACCATACCTATACGTCGTACTCAACAATAAGCAAATAACAATAGGACACAACTCCTAATCCCTCAAGCTAAGGTTAGACCGAACACTTACCTCGAACTTCTACGACCAACTCAAGCCTCAAACACCACTTTTCCTTTTGAATTCGGCTCCAAATCAATTGTATCTAGACATAATTGACCTAGTAACATCAATAAATGCTAAACAATCCAATTCCAATGCTTAATTATAGCTTCCCCATCATTCTTTCCAAAAAGTCAAAAATTGGCCCCAGGCTCGCTTGGTCAAAACACGAGGTTCGGACCAAAACTCGATCACCCATTCACCCACGATCCCGAATATATAATTAGTTCCAAAATTCGACCCCAAAATGTGGTCTAAATCATAATTATACAAAACGCTCTAACTCTACCCAAATCCCTAATTTTCTACCCTTAAGAACATGATTTAAGCCTAGAAATCTAATGGGTGTTAATGGAAATTGAAGAAAATGAGTCTAAGATTACATACCTATGAATTGGTGGTGAAATCCTCTTTCAAAAATCGCCCAATTTGGAGTTTGAAAGAAGAAGTTATGAAATTTTGATTAAATCCCGATTTGGCTTCTATTTTAAAATCATTGGAATGGCCTTCATCGCGTTCGCGATAGGCCTGTCGCATTCGCAAAGAGTTGGGCCTAAGTGACCTTCGCATTCGCAACATTGGGCTCGCGTTCGTGGAGCTTTGACTCCTCGAGCCTCCGCGTAAGCGAACAGTGGCCGCGTTCGCGTAGCACAAAATTCCCTCACCCCTCCCCAGACCCAAAGGCCTTCGCGTTCGTGATAGCAGGTCCACGTTCAGGAAACACCCCCAAGGCTTCGCATTCGCGTCCTGTATCTCGCGTTCGTGTAGAAGGAGATTTCCTTCAGCCTGAGTAACCCTTCGCATTCGCGAGAGTCCTTCCGCGAACGCGAAGAAGAACACACCAGAATACCAGAAAACTGAAAACCTGCAATCGTTTCCAAGTTCAAGACCTTCCGAAACCCATCCCAAACTCACCCAAGCCCTCGGGGCTCCAAACCAAACATGTACACTATCTCAAAAAACATCATACAAACTTATCCCGATTAAATAGCCAAAATTACCTCTTAAACAACGAATTTAGCATAGAAATCTAAGAAAATCTTCAAAATTTTTAAAGTAGGAATTTTCACAACTACGGGTCCGAATCACCTCAAACAACTTCCGTTTCTTACCAAATTTCACAAACTCATCTTATTTCACATATAAGACCTGTACCGGGCTCCGAAACTAGAATACGGGCCCGATACTATCAAATTCCAAATGCATTTCATTTCCAAAACTCATAGAAATTTCCAGAAAATAATTTTCTTTAAAAATTCATTTCTCGGGCTTAGGAGCTTGGAATTCGATTCCGGGCATACGACTCAAGTCCCATATTTTCCTACGGACCCTTGGGGACCGTCAAATCATACGTCCGGGTCCGTTTACCCAAACGTTGATCGAAGTCAAATTAATTTATTTTATAGTCAAAATTTATCATTTTTCACTGATTTTCACATACAAGCTTTATGGCTACGCGCCCGGACTGCGCACGCAAATTGAGGTGATGCTAAAAGAGGTTTTTAAGGCCTCGGAATGTAGAATTCAATTTAAAAACAAGTGATGACAAAAGGTCATCACAAAGACGTTGTTCTCGAAGTGAGGCTTGTCATTTTCTTCAATCTTAATAGCTAAGTCTTACTTTTAATCTTGTTTATTTACCATTATTGGATCTAATCAGTTTGCTTGTCTATAAATCACGTAATAAATTCAACTCTTCGTTTTATGGGTAAATAGTTTGGCGCCCACCATGGGGCTTAGACAATTATGTAATTGAGTTGATCCTTGCGTTTATTACTAACTTGTTTGATTCTTTCCTTAGAAATAAATGGAAAATGGCAGATAATGATGTCAATATCACATATAACATCAAGGGACACGAAAAACTACCTCAACATGAGGATTCAATCAGTGACACCCTAACGAAGGAGATGAGGCAACCCTAGTTTGAGAAGGTCAGTACCCTCGGCATGTATGGGAACTAACTAACGGTGATGCGGAAGAGGAACATGTTGTGGAAACAGTAAGAATCCTGAGAGAGCAACAGAAAGCCATCATGGGTCACCTCTCAAGGTAAGATCAGGTGATGACGAAGTTGAAGCAAGCATTATCAGGCGCTTCCAACAATGCAAACGGAAGGGGCTCGATTTCTCCCGGCGTTTTGCTAATCAAACGGCTCAGAGAGTTGATAACAATACCCTAAGGGGTAAAGACGGTTTCGATGGTGCTGGGGGGCCAGTAGAGGATCTGGTAAAGATAACAGTAATTATCCCATCAAAACCAAGCTCATAAGATTTATGAGGGAAATGAGCGAAGGGCTGCCTAGCTAGATCAAAACGCGAAGGAATTTCATGCCCGAATGGATCAGATCCCAAGCGAACCTCTAGTTTTGAAGGTCCCAAATTCAAAAAAATACACTTAGTTGCCGTTCAAACTGACCGCATCATCGGATTTAATTCCGAAGAGATTCAAAATACCGAACATACCAAAATACGATGAGACTTGGGATCCGCAGGAGCACATTACAACCTATACCATGGTTGCGAAAGGAAACGATTGGGCTCAACATGAGATCAAATTTTTACTAAAGAAGCTCAGAGAAACCCTCACAAAGGGGGCCCTAACATGGTATTCTCTATTACTCGAACATTCAATTGGCTCTTTGAGATGCTTGCAGATTCCTTTATAAAGGCTCATTTTGGGGCCAGAAAGGTCCAGGCCAGGAAGGCGAACATATTTAAGATCCCACAAGGTGAGTCTGAATTGTTACAAAGGTTAGTGATTAGGTTCCATATAGAAAGAATATTGCTACCAGTCATACCAGCTGAGTGGGCAGCGGATGCATTTACAAAGGGTTTGAATCTGAGGAGCTCCGACGCCTCCCAAAAGTTTAGGGAAATCCTGCTCGAATTCTAAGAGACTATATGGGCGGATGTTCATAATTGTTATGAGTCAAAAATAAGAATAGAAGAGGATCAGCTCGGGTTCCCTACATCAACCAAAGGACGGGACCGAGACAAGAACCAGGATAATTTCAAAAGCGATTTCTCTATAGATCGATGATCTTCTAAAGGCTGTTTCTTGCCTTATGAGAGAGCTAGGACAGAGGCACCCAGGCTATTCTTGGAATTCAGCAAGAGGTTGCCTGAACTCATGGCAGCAAAATAACTCTAGACCTCAAGGACAAGGAGCTCCAAGCTTTCAAAATCAGTAGAGGCATCAATATCAACCTCCACACTCTAATCATTCTAGCATGGAAGATCTAAAGAAGGACTTCCTTATTAAGACAGATTATAGGCTTGACACCCATGGTGCAGCTATAAAAAAATTGGGCATATCTTTTCGAAACCTAGAAAGACAGATTGGGCAACTAGCTACTCTATTGTCTGAGATGGTTCCAGAAACACTCCATGCTGATACTGAAAGAAATCTAAAAGAGATAATAAATGCTGTGTCTTTGAGGAGTGGGCACGAGTTGAAGGATCTAATAGCAAAGCAAAAGTATGAGCCGGTTGAAAGACAGGTGGCAGATTGTGGAGGAATAGAAAATCAGCAACATTCAAGAAGGTGAAGTGAGGGTAAATGAGGATTTGAAGAAGAAGGGGAAGATTAAAGCTCAGAAAAAGAAGAAAAATGATAATTGCACAAATAATGAGACTGAGGAAAGCAAATACATGCTTGCTCTACCTTTCCCCCAGAAACAAAGAAGGGAGAAGTTAGACAAACAATTCGAGCGCTTTCTAGAAGTGTTCAAGCAGGTGCATGTGAATATACCTTTTACATAGGTACTTCCTAGATGCCAGCTTATGCTAAATTCTTGAAGAAGATATTGTCCAAGAAATGGAAAATGGAAGAGACATTGGTTGTCAAGCTGGCAGAGCATTGTAGTGCCATCTTTCCAAATAAGCTCCCTAAAAAATATGGAGATCCAAGGAGTTTTACAATACCTTACTCTTTAGGAAGTACTAAATTTCAAAAATCTTTGTGTGACTCAGGTGCTTCTATTAATCTTATGCCTTTGTCTATTTTCAAGAAATTGGAGGGAAAGATTGGAGAAATCAGGTCGATACCTGTGTCCTTGCAGCTGGTGGATCAGTCCACAATCATACCTGAATAAATGGTGGAAGATGTGCTAGTTTGGGTGGACAAATTTGTGTTCCATGTGGACTTCATTATGGTGAACATGGAGCAAAATATGGAGGTCCCTCTTATTTTAGGAAGACCCTTTTTGGATACAAGCAGAGCAATTCTGGATATTCAAGAAAGGTAGCTCATGCTCAGAGTGGGGGATAAAAGGCCGATCTTCAAGATGGAAGGAGAAATGGGGGCCCTGAAAGAGAAAATTGGAATGAATGAAGCTGATAAGTGTGGGATGTGCCCAAAGAAGGCGTAAAAAAGCTCTCAACATGGATATGTGTTGTCACGCCCTGAACCTGGGGGCGAGACCGGCACGCGGTGCCTCACCTATCCTTGCATACCAACTTGTGACTAAGGAACTCTGAACATGTGATTTCATACTTTGGCCATGGGCCACATTGCAAGACAACTACAAATGCTAACTAAACATCAATATAAAGCTGGGCCGACAAGGCCATCATAATTATTGCAGCTGATAAACCAACCAAATATACATACAAGGCCTACAAGCCCAACATATTGTACTAACTGACAGGATATGTCTACAAGCCTCTACTGGTGGATATACTATGATCAGAACAGCTTCTCGACCTACTCATAACATATATACATATATACACAAGATGTACATTAAGTTCTAGACCCGACAACTCCAAAAGGCATGGAGCTTACCGATTAAGATGAACACGGACAACACTTAATGAGGAGGTCTACCCGCCTGTTTGTCTGAACCTGCATGCATGAGATGCAATGCCCCCAAAAAAGGGATGTCAGTACGAAATAATGTACCGAGTATGTAAGGCAATATATTGGAAGTTGAAACTAAACTGATAATATAATAACTGAAAGTAACTGGAAGTCAAAGATAATACGANTAGTAGGCTCTCTCATAGACGCTCGACCATACTAGGCTCTGTATCTTGACCAACTAGGCTCACTCATAGGCGCTCGGCCACAGTAGGCTCGATATATAACTTACCATCTGATTAGAGGTTGCCCAATAGGGGCCTGCCCATCGATTATAGCTCAATGGTAATGAAGATACTTTAGTACTGTATATATAAACTCTCTGCTCTCTTGACTGGAAGATGAAAATACTCAACTGAATATAAAGTCCCGATAAGGAGAATAATGTAACCTATAGAACTAGAAAAATATACGTAAATTTTTGAATATGAGTTTTTCTTTATGCCTCATTATCAAACTCGTGTAATTATGAGATCATGCCAAAATGAAGGAAGAACTTAGCCTTAACATACCTGGAATAGGAAAAAATCCGTATAATATTCTTGAAAAGGTTGCACCGTACTCCTCTAGAGTCGCAAAATCTCACGTTGCTACGGTTCTAAGAAATCTCGTTGGAATCATGTCTTCCTGTCATCTGACCTCTAAGTTCCCTTTTGAGACCAATATAGTGTTTCTTGGATGCAGCACGGGAAAGGTTTTGCGGTCGGTGTTGAAGATGTTGAGATGAAGAAGAGAGCACCATTTCTATGAGTGTGTGTATAAGGTTTACGTAGTTTGTATTTATGTTAATATTTTGCTGGTTATGTACAAATAAAGGCATGTATAAGGGATATGAATATGTTACTACATATGTGTAGTCATATTTGGATGAAATAATATGTTTATGCTAGTTAAGCTAAGAAAAACTTGTAGTATCATTTTCCAGTAGTAAACCGTCACCCCTTGTATGCATTTATCCCCTCTTCCAAATAAAGATGATACCCAATATTTAAATGGCCACCTTTCAAGCCAAATGATGAGTCATTTAATGAGTTTCAAGAGACTACCACGTTTTTTACTTTAGTCTTTATCCAAAGACTTTAATTAATACACCACTAATTATTAATTAACTAGATAATGTCACATTACCCAATAATTAACCAATTACCCACATAATTAAAAATTATTTTTACTTAATTAAAATATTACTCACTTTTCACATACGTTATATATCTTACTACCATGGTCATGTGGTACCTTGTATAGTACTAGTCCATAAATATTGGGCATTAACGCTCGTCCCGTATTTTATCCCAATATGCCAAACTTGGACGAAAATTCATTTTCTTTGACTTGCTTCCCCTTTCACCTTCACGAATTTATTCATCACTGTGACGACCCGGCCAGCCATCTCATGAGTTACAGCTCTGTTTCCCCCATTTCTGTTTCTTTATGCTTTGTGTATCCGTGTTATGTGGTATCAGGTTGGTCGGATCGAATCCGGAATGATTTTGGTAAGGTTTGAGACACTTAGTCTCTTTTAAGAGAGCTTAAGTTGGAAAAGTCAACCGAATATTGACTTGTGTGTTAGAAGGCTCGGATGTGAGTTCCGATGGTTTGGATAGCTTCAAGAGGTGATTTGGGACTTAGGATAGCGATCGGAATGAGTTTTGGAGGTTTGGAGTAGATTTAGGCTTGAATTGGCGAAGTTGATATTTTGGCGATTTCCGGTTGGCAGGCGAGATTTTGATATAGGGGCCGGAATGGAATTTTGAGAGTTGAAGTAGCTACGTTGTGTCATTTTGGATATGTGTGCAAAATTTTAGGTCATTCGGATGTGGATTGGTTGGGATTTTGTTCAAAAGCGGAATTCAGAAGATTTTGGAAACTTAGGCTTGAATCCGATGTGTTTTGGTTGATTTGATGTTGTTTGAGGAGTTTTGAAGATTGGTACAAGTTTGAATGAGGTTTTGGGATATATTTGTGGGTTTGGTTGAGGTCCCGGGTCCTCGGGTGAGTTTCAGGTGTCCAATTGGACCATTTCATGAAGTTTGGAGTTGTAGATTTGGAGGTTCAGCTGTTGCAGAGATTTTCCTCTTTGCGATTGCATAGGGGGTCTCGCGATCGCGTAGAAGCTTTTGAAGGGGCAATCCAGTTTGTTTTTAGCGTTCGCGAAGGTGGAGATGCGATCACATAAGGTGGAGAAGTTGTTGATAGCGAATGCGTAGTGAGGGTCACGTTCGCGTAGAGTTAAGTGGACCAGGGGTTTGATTGGGAGTTGTTCTTTGCGAACGCTGTCCCTTGTCTGTGATCACATAGTGTTGGAAGTTGTAGCTTCACGTTCAGGTGAGTGTTTACGCATTCGCATAGAGTAAAAGTTGGGTTCTGAAAAAGTGTGCTTCGCGATCGCGAAGGAAGTCCTTTGATTGCGATGAAGGAATTTAGGCCTGGGCAGAAGGTTTAAATAGTTGTCTTGTCCGCGAATGTGGGGTTTATTTCTTCCATTATTGGTCGTTTTTGGAGCTTTATGAAGGGGGTTGAAGAGGGATTTAAGGGGAATCACTTGAAGGTAAGATTCTTGGACTTAAAACTCGATTCTAATGTGAATTCCACCTAAATGATTATGGAAATTAAGCAAAAAATTGAAGAACTAGGGCTTGGAAATTTAGACCTTTGATTGAGAATTTGAATGACCATTTGATGTCGGATTTCAGAACTTTTGATATGTATGAGCTCGTGGGGAGATAAGGAATCTATTGATGTAAAAATTATCGAATTCCGAGACGTGGTCCATGGGGTCGGGTTTTGGTAATTTCGAGATTTGTGTTGTATTTTGATTATTTTCACTTGGGCTTCATTCCCTTAGCATATTTTGACGTCCTCATTCTGATTTTGGATAGATTCGACGCGAGTGGAGGCCGATTCGAGGGGCAAAGGTGTCACGAGCTAGAGATTTGACCGGTTCGAGGTGAGTAATGATTGTAAATGATGTTATGAGGGTATGAAATCCTGGACTTGCACATCATTGTGCTATATTG